AAATTGGACATTTACCTATTATGGTCCAATATCCAAAATCTAAATACATGGTTAGATTCAACATATCAAAGAACCCCAAGAATTCAATTTTTGATGAAATCAAATAAAGTTCAATTTTGGACCCTTTAGACCTCAATGTAGACCAATTTGATAACTGGGCCCAAATATCAAAAATCTAAATACATGGTTAGATTCAGCATATCAAAGAACCCCATGTATTCAATTTTTGTAGAAATCAAACAAAGTTTAATTTTGGACCCTGATTTTGACCAACTTGAAAACTGGGCCCTTAATCAAAAATCTAAGTACATGTTTAGATTCAGCATATCAAAGAACCCCAAGAATTTAATTTTTGTTAAAATCAAACTAAGTTTAATTTTGGACCATTTGGACCTTAATGTAGACCAATTTGAAAACGGGACCAAAAATTAAGAATCTAAATACACGGTAAGATTCGGCATATCAAAAAACCCCAATAATTCAACTTTTGATGAAATCAAACAAAGTTTAATTTTGGACCCTTTTGGCCTCTAATTCCTAAACTGTTGGAACCAAAACCCCCGAAATCAATCCCAACCTTCCTTTTGTGGTCATAAACCTTGTATTTAAATTTCATAGATTTCTATTTACTTATACTAAAGTTATTGTGCGAAAACCAAGAAAAATGCTTATTTGGGGCCCTTTGTTGGCCCCTAATTCCTAAACTGTTGGGACCAAAACTCCCAAAATCAATCCCAACTTTTCTTTTGTGGTCATAAACCTTGTATTTAAATTTCATAGATTTCTATTTACTTATACTAAAGTTATTGTGCGAAAACCAAGAAAAATGCTTATTTGGGGCCCTTTGTTGGCCCCTCCTAAACTGTTGGGACCAAAACTCCCAAAATCAATCCCAACTTTCCTTTTGTGGTCATAAACCTTGTGTTTAATTTTCATAGATTTCTATTTACTTATACTAAAGTTATTGTGCGAAAACCAAATGTCTTCGGACGACGACGTGATACCAATATACGATCGCAAAAACATTTTTTTGCGGTCGTATAAAAACTGCATTTTACCCTATGTACTATTTTTAGCCATGTCGGCCATCTTGGTTCACATGCAGGGTCATCGGACACATTTTTTAAACTAGATACTCTAATAATGATTGTGGACAAGTTTGGTTGAATTTGTCTCAGTAGTTTCAGAGGAGAAGAATTTTGTAAAAGATTACAAAAATTTACGAAAAAATTGTTAAAAATTGACTATAAAGGGCAATAACTCCTTAAGGGGTCAACTGATTATTTTGGTCATTTGACTTATTTGTAGATCTTACTTTGCTGAACATTATTGTTGTTTACAGTTTATCTCTATCTATAATAATATTCAAGATAATAACCTAAAACGGCAAAAATTCCTTAAAATTACCAATTCAGGGGCAGCAACCCAACAACGGGTTGTTCTATTCATCTGAAAACTTCAGGGCAGATAGATCTTGACCTGATAAACAATTTTACCTCTGTTAGATTTACTCTAAATACTTTGGTTTCAGAGATATAAGCCAAAATCTACATTTTACCCCTATGTTCTAATTTTAGCCATGGCGGCCATTTTGGTTGGTAAGCCGGGTCACCGGACACATTTTTTAAACTAGATACCCCAATGATGATTGTGGCTAAGTTTGGTTAAATTTGGCCCAGTAGTTTCACAGGAGAAGATTTTTTTTCAAAGTTAACATCGACGGACGCCAAGTGTGAGAAAAGCTCACTTGGCCCTGTGGGCCAGGTGAGCTAAAAAAGTATAACAAAACTACCAAACTCCAGGGTAAATAAAACTAGAGGCTCTAAAGAGCCTGTGTCGCTCACCTTGGTCTATGTGCATATTAAACAAAGGACACAGATGGATTCATGACAAAATTGTGTTTTGGTGATGGTGATGTGTTTGTAGATCTTACTTTACTGAACATTCTTGCTCCTTACTACTATCTCTATCTATAATGAACTTGGCCCGGTAATTACAGTGGAAAATACTTTGTAAAAATTTACAAAAATTTACAAAATTTATGAAAATTGTAAAAAATTGACTATAAAGGGCAATAACTCCTTAAGGGGTCAATTGACAATTTTGGTCATGTTGCCTTATTTGTAGATCTAACTTTGCTGTACATTATTGCTGTTTACAGTTTATCTCTATCTATAATAATATTCAAGATAATAACCAAAAGCTGCAAAATTTTCTTAAAATTACCAATTCAGGGGCAGCAACCCAACAACGTGTTGCCTGATTGGTCTGAAAATTTCAGGGCAGATAGATCTTGACCTAATGAACAATTTTATTCTCATCAGATTTGCTCTAAATGCTTTGGTTTCAGAGATATGAGCCAACAAGAGTGCACACGCTGAAATGTCTCGCCTTCTTTACTAATCATTGATATTATGTTGATAGTCCTAAATATAAAGCTTTATTACAACTGTCACATAAACTTAACATTAACCAAGTAAACTAAACATTGACCAATGAACCATGAAAATGAGGTCAAGGTCAGATGAACCATGCTAGGCAGGCATGTACAGCTAACAATTCTTCCATACAACAAATATAGTTGACCTATTGCTTATAGTTTAAGAAAAACAGACGAAAACACAAAAACTTAACACTGAGCAATGAACCTTGAAAATGAGGTCAAGGTCAAATAAAACCTGCGTGACTGACATATAGATCATAAAATATTTCCATACACCAAATATAGTTGAACTATTGCATATAGTATTAGAAAAAAAGACCAAAACTCAAAAACTTAACTTTGACCACTGAACCATGAAAATGAGGTCAAGGTAAGATGACACCTGCCAGCTAGACATGTACACCTTACAATCATTCCATACACCAAATATAGCTGACCTATTGCATGCAGTATTAGAAAAAAAGACCAAAACTCAAAAACTTAACTTTGACCACTGAACCATGAAAATGAGGTCAAGGTCAGATGACACCTGCCAGCTAGACATGTACACCTTACAATCATTCCATACACCAAATATAGTAGACCTATTGCATACAGTATAAGAAAAACAGACCAAAACACAAAAACTTAACTATAACCACTGAACCATGAAAATGAGGTCAAGGTCAGATGACACCTGCCAGTTGGACATGTACACCTTACAGTCCTTCCATACACCGAATATACTAGACCTATTGCTTATAGTATCTGAGATATGGACTTGACCACGAAAACTTAACCTTGTTCACTGATCCATGAAATGAGGTCAAGGTCAAGTGAAAACTGTCTGACGGGCATGAGGACCTTGCAAGGTACGCACATACCAAATATAGTTATCCTATTACTTATAATAAGAGAGAATTTAACATTACAAAAAATCTGAACTTTTTTTTCAAGTAGTCACTGAACCATGAAAATGAGGTCAAGGACATTGGACATGTGACTGACTGAAACTTCGTAACATGAGGCATCCATATACAAAGTATGAAGCATCCAGGTCTTCCATCTTCTAAAATATAAAGCTTTTAAGAAGTTAGCTAACGCCGCCGCCGCCGCCGGATCGCTATCCCTATGTCGAGCTTTCTGCGACAAAAGTCGCAGGCTCGACAAAAACTGCATTTTACCCTATGTACTATTTTTTAGCCATGTCAGCCATCTTGGTTCGCGAGCAGGGTCATCGGACACATTTTTTAAACTAGATACCCTAATGATGATTGTGGACAAGTTTGGTTAAATTTGTCTTAGTAGTTTCAGAGGAGAAGATTTTTGTAAAAAATTACAAAAATTTACGAAAAATGGTTAAAAATTGACTATAAAGGGCAATAACTCCTTAAGGGGTCAACTGACCATTTTGGTCATGTTGACTTATTTGTAGATCTTACTTTGCTGAACATTATTGCTGTTTACAGTTTATCTCTATCTATAATAATATTCAAGATAATAACCAAAAACGGCAAAATTTCCTTAAAATTACCAATTCAGGGGCAGCAACCCAACAACGGGTTGCCTGATTGGTCTGAAAATTTCAGGGCAGATAGATCTTGACCTAATGAACAATTTTATCATCATCAGATTTGCTCTAAATGCTTTGGTTTCAGAGATATGAGCCCAAAACTGCATTTTACCCTATGTACTTTTTTTTAGCCATGTCGGCCATCTTGGTTTGCGGGCGGGGTCATCGGACAAATTTTTTAAACTAGATACTCTAATGATGATTGTGGACAAGTTTGGTTAAATTTGTCTTAGTAGTTTCAGAGGAGAAGATTTTTGTAAAAGATTACAAAAATTTACGAAAAATGGTTAAAAATTGACTATAAAGGGCAATAACTCCTTAAGGGGTCAACTGACCATTTTGGTCATGTCGACTTATTTGTAGATCTTACTTTGCTGAACATTATTGCTGTTTACAGTTTATCTCTATCTATAATAATATTCAAGATAATAACCAAAAACGGCAAAATTTCCTTAAAATTACCAATTCAGGGGCAGCAACCCAACAACGGGTTGTCCGATTCATCTGAAAATTTCAGGGCAGATAGATCTTGACCTGATAAACAATTTTACCCCATGTCAGATTTGCTCTAAATGCTTTGGTTTCAGAGATATATGCCAAAATCTACATTTTACCCCTATGTTCTATTTTTAGCCATGGCGGCCATCTTGGTTGGTTGGCCGGGTCACCGGACACATTTTTTAAACTAGATACCCCAATGATGATTGTGGCCAAGTTTGGTCAAATTTGGCCCAGTAGTTTCAGAGGAGAAGATTTTTGTAAAAGTTTACGGACGACGGACGACGGACGCAGGACGACGGACGACGGACGCAAAGTGATGAGAAAAGCTCACTTGACCTTTCAGGTCAGGTGAGCTAAAAAAGGGGAATTACATACAACTTGACGATTCAAACGTTACACTTTCTCAACAAACTAAACAAACGCAAGACTGAACATCTCCCAATTCATTTATTTTCATTTTTGGGAACTGAATTTGGCATGAAATTACATTGTGGTGTTACATACCCCTGCCGAACTGGCTGTTCCTGTTGCCCCTTCATTGGCATTTGAAAATACTCTCTCACCAGCTTGGACCCGGACAAATACCTTCAAATATACAAGCATGTCATTCATTATCAATAGAAAATATTGGTAACCATCATGATAAAATGATTCGCTGAGCGCAGCCTGATACGACCGCAGAGGTTAAACCCTGAAGAGTTAAGGCAAGTTTGGACACAATATTCAAGCTTGATACTGTCTGAATTTGGATTGTGATCAAATTTTTAACATAATATAGGTTTCTGACACAAAATAAATGTGATCAAAGATCTTAATCAAAGCACTGTAAGCGCTGCAGGCAGTTAACCAAAAACCAAGGCAAACGTAATTATGAAAACTGTGGCAGTGTTGCTTCAAATTTTTTTTTCAGATTTGAAAGAACAAACATTAAACATTCGTATATTGTACATTTATGTTTATTTAATGAATTGATTATTAAGGCAAATTAATTAATATTTTATCAAGATTTTCTAAAGCAACGCATATATCAATGTATATTTTTAATGGTGAGTCTGCAGTGGTACAAGTTCGCAATGATTGCAGGTGTTCTAGTTGGTAGTTAACGTTGGTACCAGTTGACTTTTAGTGGTACAAGTTGACGTAATTGTATGAATGGACTTGCTTCCCTGGAAGGAACACTGAGTTTGGGTTCTACAGTACAAAAGTTATGAGACACAAATCAGACAAATATTTACTACTACAGGGATCAAAGGTGAGGTCTGACTGCCCTGACCATAGTAAATGTAAATGACCCCCACCTTCACCCCAAGTCCGTGATATCACTCCATACCAAGTTTGGAATAAAATGACAGGTGATTATAAAAGAGGGACGAAAGATACCAGAGGGACAGTCAAATTCATAGATCGAAAACAAACTGACATCGCCATGGCCAAAAATAAAAAGACAAACAGACAAATAATAGTACAGATGACACAACATAGAAAACTGAAGACTAAGCAACACGAACCCCACCAAAAACTGGGGGTGATCTCAGGTTCTCCGGTCAAATAAAACAATTGGTCAAACATTCTTGGACTTTACGTACACTGCTTGAAAGATTTATATGTTTTCTTTAAAATGAGCCATAAATGAAAATTTTTATAGGCCCAGAAATAATTCAAAAAATAACTAAAGTAAATTCAATTTACCTAGACTCATTTTTTGCATCAATAAAATTTTATAATAAACAAGAAATAATTGTAACAGGATGCTGTTACGAAGTCTCCCAAACAAAGCTCCCATAATTCGTCATTCCCATGGTCGCCTGATATTGGGCAAAGTCCAGTACACATTGGTTTGGTCTAGTAAAGTGATATGCATATGTCACATAATGTGACGCCTAGGAGATTGACCCTGTATATCATTCAAATTATTTTGAAATGACAAACAGGAATAAATATGGTTTAGGAGTGGGGACCGTTTACAAGTTCTCAAACAGGAGGGGCTGGGTTGACCCCAGGGACTCCCCCTATATTTCATTTGATTTGTTATATTGTCCCATACATGAATATATATGGTTTAGGAGTGGGGATTTCAACCGTTTACAAGTTCTCAAACAATAGGGGGTGGGGTGACCCCAGGGACTCCCCCTATAAGATAAGATAAGATAAGATAAGATATTTTATTTCCAATTATGGGCCCCAAAGGGCATAAACATTACAACATCAATAATTTTTCATAATACAATACAAACAATGAGATAAAAAAAAAAAAAAAAAGTTAAACGAGAACTATTTAAGTTCTTAAAGAATACGTAGATAAAGAATCTATAGTATGTGGTTTTTTAATACTAATGCATTTTATTGCAAGTGTGGTTGATATAGATAACAAACAAGCAGCCCAAAAAGAAAAAAAGAAAAATAGATATCCACATATGTATAGTACACAAAAAGTTGGATCAATTAAATATATAATAATTAGCCAAAAAGAAAGTAGAAATTAAGCATGTCCATGACTCATCCTGTGTCAGCAGCAAATAGGAAAGCATGATGGTTTCCTAAAGGCAGCTGACACCAGGGGGCGATACCTTATGGGCCATAGGCATGTAAAATGTGTGTAAATGTCTCTTTCCTACCTGTATCAAAAGCAAACAAGGAAGCATCATAGGTAACTTGAATGCAGTTGATACCAGGGGACGATGCCTCAAGGATATAAGAGAACATTTGAATAAATAATATATCTTAACAATTTTTTTTTTTTTTTTAATCGGCTAGTATGTTTGTGATATTCAGATGAATATAATTTTCTATGTCCAATCAAATGTATATACACACATAGATTTCCTTTAACTAATCTTCACTAAGGAAGATGTTTGTATATAAAATTACATATTATTTTAAGTAACTCAACATTTTCTACACTAAATAACCAGATAATTTTGCTTTGACTGCTCATATGATTAAAATAAGAATTATATTTTGCAATACTAGCTAACATACAATTTCTATCATCCTCAAATTTGTTACAATCAAATAGAAAATGAGCCTCATCTTCGACAGTATTGGAAGAACATTTATTACATATTCTGTTAATTCGGGGAATACCCTGATATCTACCTAATTCTATTTGTAATCTATGAGAAGATACACGTAATTTAGTAAAACTTCTTCTAAGTTCAAAATTCTTGATCAATGTTAGATATTTTTCAAAACCAAAATTTGTTTTGTATAAAAGGTAGGTTTTCAGTTTACTGTCTGAAAATTTATCTATTTGTTTTTTCCAACAGCTAATAAACAATATTGATAGCTTGGTTTGTATATATTTCTTAAATTTGTATAAGGATTCACAAAATGGAGCATTTATGGCATTTGTATAGTCAATACCAAGTATTTTAAAAACAACATATATTTCATTTGATTTGTTATATTGTCCCATACATTAATATATATGGTTTAGGGGTGGGGATCTCGACCGTTTCCAAGTTCTCAAACAAGAGGGGGTGGGGTGACCCCAGGGACTCCCCCTATATTTCATTTGATTTGTTATATTGTCCCATACATTAATATATATGGTTTAGGGGTGGGGATCTCGACCGTTTCCAAGTTCTCAAACAAGAGGGGGTGGGGTGACCCCAGGGACTCCCCCTATATTTCATTTGATTTGTTATATTGTCCCATATATTAATATATATGGTTTAGGGGTGGGGATCTCGACCGCTTCCAAGTTCTCAAACATGAGGGGGTGGGGTGACCCCAGGGACTCCCCCTATATTTCATTTAATTTGTTATATTGTCACATACATGAATATATATGGTTTAGGGGTGGGGATATCGACCGTTTACAAGTTCTGAAACAGAAGGGGGTGGGGTGACGCCAGGGATTCCCCCAAATTTTCATTTGATTTGTTTTATTGTCCCATACAAGTATATATATATGGTTTAGGGGTGGGGATCGCGACCGTTTACAACGGATAAAAGAACATTTTCAAATTGAAAGGGGGTGGGATGACCCCCAGGGACTCACCCTATATTTTATTTTATTTGTTTCATTGTCCTGTTCTCATTACTGAAGACCACGCGTGTCTATCACATACTATTTTCGAGTATAAATAGTCATTTGAAAATAAAATCCCATAGGGTTCTACAGTAAACCCCTCCCTTCTTTAGGCCCCTCAAAATACCCCTAAATAGTTCCCAATGCACAAACGAAAGATTGATGGCTCCGCTAGACATGTTAGTCTTACATTTTATGAGACCCTAAGTTAATCTGACAAGGGGTCCGAGTAGTTTTCTTAGACGGTCCGAGTGGACTTGGTCCGACTTGTCTCTGGGACGAGTTATTCCGCATTTCTTAAAACATCGACCTGATTGGTCGACATTAATTACGTCGATTTCCGGTTTTTCATTCATAAAATAACAACAAGTTCAGTGATAAACGGAATAATTTAATAAAAGAAAGGAATTTAAATGTGCATACATTTAATTGAAATCAATTAAATAATCACAATCTTCTTAAACTAAAAGAATATCATGATTAAGAGTACTTTCGCTTAATCGGACTTTCTATCATCAGAATCAAACGAACTTACGTTTCGTGTAAGTTAAAATTACCGCCAACCTAGACTACATGTGTACTATATATAACTTTATTCCCTCTATCATAGAGATTTGGTGTACATGAACAATATTCCTGCGCAGTTTGTCATTTGGAAAATATAAACGACTTGTAATTACAGATTTTCGGCGATGAAATATTTCATACAATTGTTCTTTGCCATCTTAGCCAAAAGCACAGGGGATAATAAACTAAGTACGGATTTCTATTGAGCACTATTTCCTATGTGCAACTTCAAATATTATGCGTCGTTCGACGATCATTTAAGGTTATTCTGGTCATATTTTTTGTATTCCAGAATTAAAAGAATGAAAAAAATGTCCAATTAGTTATAAATAACATATTAGCCTGCTAGATTACAACAATGGCACTTTTTTCAGCATTCGTTAGGAAGAACACAAATCTAGGGTGCTAGCATAAGGCAGCTTAACTGCCTAAAAACAACATGATTAGATTTAGCATATAAAATTAGAGGCTCTTAAGAGCCTTTGTCGCTCACCTTGGTCTATGTGCATATTAAACAAAGGACACAGATGGATTCATTACAAAATTGTGTTTTGGTTATGGTGATGTGTTTGTAGATCTTACTTTACTGAACATTCTAGCTGCTTACAATTACCTTTATCTATAATGAACTTGGCCCAGTAGTTACAGTGGAAAATATTTTGTAAAAATTTACAAAAATTTTAAAAATTTATGAAAATTGTTAAAAATTGACTATACAGGGCAATAACTCCTTAAGGGGTCAATTGACCATTTTGATCGTGTTGACTTATTTGTAGGTCTTACTTTGCTGTACATTATTGCTGTTTACAGTTTATCTCTATCTATAATAATATTCAAGATAAAAACCAAATGCTGCAAAATTTTCTTAAAATTACCAATTCAGGGGTAGCAACCCAACAACGGGTTGCCTGATTAGTCTGAAAATTTCATGGCAGATAGATCTCGACCTAATGAACAATTTTATTCCATGTCAGATTTGCTCTAAATGCTTTGGTTTCAGAGGTATGAGCAAAAAACTGCATTTTACCCTGTGTACTATTTTTAGCCATGTGGGCCATCTTGGTTCGCGGGCAGGGTCATCGGACACATTTTTAACACTACATACCCTAATGATGATTGTGGACAAGTTTAGTTACATTTGTCTTAGTAGTTTCAGAGGAGAAGATTTTTGTAAAAGATTACAAAAATTTACGAAAAATTGTTAAAAATTGACTATAAAGGGCAATAACTCCTTAAGGGGTCAACTGACCATTTTAGTCATGTTGACTTATTTGTAGAAATTACTTTGCTGAACATTATTGGTGTTTACAGTTTATCTGTATCTATAATAATATTCACAACATAATAATCGAAAACTGCAAAATTTTCTTAAAATTACCAATTCAGGGGCAGCAACCCAACGACGGGTTGTTCGATTCATCTGAAAATTTCAGAGCAGATAGATCTTGATCTGATAAACAATTTTATTCCATGTCAGATTTGCCCTAAATGCTTTGGTTTCAGAGATATAAGCCAAAATCGACATTTTACCCCTATGTTCTATTTTTAGCCATGGCGGCCATCTTGGTTGGTTGGAAGGGTCACCGGATATATTTTTAAACTAGATACCCCAATGATGATTGTGGCCAAGTTTGGTTAAATTTGCCCGAGTAGTTTCAGAGAAGAAGATTTTTGTAAAAGTTAACAACGACGGACGACGGACGAAGGAAGAGGGACGACGTCGGACGCCAAGTGATGAGAAAAGCTCACTTGGCCCTTTAGGCCAGGTGAGCTAAAAACACCCAAAATTTAATTTTGGTTGAAATCAAACAAAGTTTAATTTTGGGCCCTTCAAACCTCAATATGGACTAATTTGAAAACAGGGCCCAAATTAACAAAATCTAAATGTATAATAAGACTCAGCAAACCATACATGATACAGCCGCAATAATTCAGTTTTTGAAAGTTTAATTTGGGACCCTTTTGACCTCAATGTAAACCAATTTAAAAATCGGGCCCATTATCTCAAAAAATTATACAAGGTTAGAACCCCCCCAAAATTAAAGACTTAATTAATCCCATTGAAATTGGTTGAAATATTTGTATTTGTTTTCAATTGAAGATTTCTTGCTACTGCGCAATACTGTGCAATTGAAGATTTCTTGCTATTGTGCAATACTGTGCTATTGCGAAATACTGTACAATTGAAGATTTCTTGCTATTGCGCAATACTGTACAATTGAAGATTTCTTGCTATTGCGCAATACTGTGCAGTTGAAGATTTCTTGCTATTGCGCAATACTGTGCTATTGTGCAATACTGTGCTATTGGGCAATACTGTCCAATTGAAGATTTCTTGCTATTGCACAATACTGTGCAAATGAAAATTTCTTCCTATTGCGCAGTACTGTGCAATTGAAGATTTCTTGCTATTGCGCAATACTGTGCAATTGAAGATTTCAAAAATTTTGAAGACAAAAAATGAATCCCCCAAAAAATTTAGACAAAAAAAATTCCCCAATTTTTTGACCCCCCCTTTGAAGTAATTACCCCCAAACTCAGTCCCAGCCTTCCCTTTTGTGGTATGGAACATTGTAGTACAATTTTAGAGAGATCCATACACTTAAACACAAGTTATAGTCTGGAAACTAGAAAAATGCTTGTTTTTGGCCCCTTTGTTGCCCCTTATTCCTGAACGTTTAGGGCAATTACCCCCAAACTCAATCCCAGCCTTCCCTTTGTGATATGGATCCTTGTGGTACAATTTCAGAGAGATCCATACACTAACACACATATTAGTGTGCGGAAACTACAAAAATGCTTTTTTTTGCCCCTTTTTGGCCCCTAATCCCATAACTGTTGGTACCATAACCCCCAAATTCGATCCAAACCTTCTTTTTGAGGTATTGAACCTTCTGGTAAAATTCCATAGAGATCCATTCACTTAAACTTAAGTTATTGTCCAGAAACCAAATGTGTCTTCGGACGACGACGCAGACGAAGACATCATAGCATTATACGATGCAAAAAATATTTTGCGGTCGTATAAAAATATGTCAATGAGGCTGGCCCCTATCATTTTCTTTCATTCTATTTTGATAAACATACATGTAGGTTGAATAATCAACCAATTCAAGCATGCAATTATGTCTAAATTCTTTGGCGTATACAAGAATTAGTAAAATGGGTAAATTAAAAAAAGCTACATTTTTCTTCAAAGATGTGCTACCTTTATGATGAAAAGTCCTCTGCTTAAGTTTCAAACAAGCCCGTCATTAAAATTTTAAACCCCAGACTCCTTATAGATTTTAACTGAAAAGGTAAATAAATTTATAAGTAAAGACAATGATTGGAGTTTGGTTCATTTTGGCCGCACATTTTTCTTTAAAAAGAGGAAAATCTTTTTTACATTCAGAACGAGGGAAAAAGACGCAAAACCATAGCAATAGCTTACATTGTCAGATTAGCTAAAATGCTCAGTTTGGATTATCTTGAATCCACTGTCTGAATAGTTTGCATTTCAACAGCAAGAAATATTTCATATTATTTATTGTCAATCTAAACATGCTAAATAAAAGTTGCTCGATTTGACGAATGTATAATTTTGTCAGAAATTAGGTCTGAAGTAATACAAGTAATAATTAATCTATCTTACATCATCATGTATACATAACATAATACTTACTGCTAGTTATACAAATATCAACATAATACTTACTGCTAGTTATACAAATATCAACATAATACTTACTGCTAGTTATACAAATATCAACATAAGGATAACTTCCATGCTATAAAATAGTAGCTTTTTACCTTGGTGGATTGAACCGTAGTTTGGATTTGACTTGAGCTTTCTGTGTAAGGATTAGATATTGGAACGTTTGCAGAACTCTGTAACAACTACAATAATTTAGAAAATAAAATGTACCACTATCAGATGATCCCCCTTACCTTATATATAATTAAAACAGCACTCTACTTAAATGTATGAACTATTATGGAAACATATTACAACTTACATGTTATTACAATGATTGCATAGATAGAGCATCTTGTATTTCTACAAGCAGATTATAGTTAAGTTTTCACAGTTAGTTTCTGAAATATTCAGTTTATCTCTTGCCAGTTCTTTGTTTGGTCTTTAGACCATCCGAACTAAGAAAAGGAGGTTGAGGACATCACTGCTGCCTGATTCTGAAGTAAAATACATGTCTTGCTTCAGTTTTCTGGAGGAAACAACATGGACAAGTTGAACTGTGAGCTTTTTCTAACTATTTTCATATCAATAGATAAGTATTTGGTAAATACAGAGACGGAGATGATGAGTATCATATTTGAAAAGGTATCACGCGGTATAGCAAATTTCATGGAACTCTAATTGACACTTTTTAGAAAGAGAGAAAAACATGTGTCATATACATAATATATGGTTGAAATGTGTAAAAATATATGTTTATATCAAACTGGATCACGATAAACAATTAATGTGAAAGTGAAAAATTGTTTAAATCAACAAATAACTATTAAGATGTAAATTTCTCTTAACGTTAGTGCCTGAGAAAAGCTAGGAAAACATTTTATTGGATGGATTAATGGAAGGACTAAAAGAGGTTAACCAATGTACCATCTTATTACAAATTTTCCTTGTAAAACTCACCAAACATTGATAAATCTTTTACTTACATCAACTGTTCTATATTGTAGATCTGACCATTCACCTGTGAACTCATGTGCAATTCTACATGTCTCACAATAATATTTTGTATCCTGATCTTCAGGATAGTCAAACAATCCTGTTACAGACTCTGGTCTTGTTTGGCCACATTCCCACTTTTTCTTAAATTTCACATTAGACATCTTAAATCTTGTGCTTATTATCTTGACAATTTCCTCTGTCACAAAGTCGTCAATGTATTTGTACATATGACGTCCTTTCTCAAATTGCCAAACCTGAATTTGAATCCAATTCGGACATTTCAGTATATGCAATTTTGCTAATTTTGTCGTTTTCTGTAACTCAAAGACAGCTGAATCTCTGAAGAGAGCAATTTGTCTTTTCTGTTCCTTCGTGACAACTTCTGCAACTTTATATTTCCTGCACAGTGACGCAATTAAATGATTCATTAAATGAGGTGGAAGAAACCTAAACTTATAACATAACCAGGTGGACTTATTACATGTGTTTTCTGTAACATTAAACATTTCGTATATATCACACTCAGGTTCTGATTTAATCATACAAGGTACATAATAGAGAGGTTTGTCATCACCAGCGTCTCTTTGAGTTTCTGATATGTTAGGACGTATAATGATATCAAATTTCTCCATTACGTTCAGGATGTGATCCTTGTGTTTGGCAAAAATGTTTTCACTTTTTCTAAATATGTCGTCTAAAACCTCACTATGTAATTTGCCTCTGCTATACAATTCATCCCATTTTGTTCTATTTTTAGTACTAAAAGCTCTAAATTTCTTAGCTGTGACTATACATTTAAAAGCATCAGACAACCACTGTGTGTCTAAAATAATATAAGAAGACAGATCTTTGAAATAAACTAAAGCTCTGATCTCATGGTGAAATTCCAGGAACAATCTGAGTTCCTCATCATTTAGTGGATTAGGTGTATTAGTAGAGATGTGCTTAATTTCATGAAAGGAAATAATTGGTAACTCCTTCTTTTTCTCTTGAAGTCGTTTTTCCAGCTGAATAAATTTTAAGGGGTAAACTTTGTTCCACGTTTTTATTTTTCTAGCTAAGCTTAGGATGTCTTCTCGGATTTGCTGGAATACACTGGGGTCATCTTCTGTATTGGAAATGAAGTATTCTTGCCTTATATGTTTTAGTTCATCTTCTGACATATTCTTCGTAAACTTAAAAATGTTTTCTCGGCATGCATCGTCAATCTACAAAAAAAATATGCTTGTTTGTTTGTTTGGTCTTTACAAATATATGAATGCTTTGAACATATTTGAAAACATGAAGTAAATACTAAAGCTACATGTATATAAACATATATGATAATCATTTAACTATATTATATTAAATAAATTATCGTAAGAACACAACTTTTTTAAAATGTGATAAAGGATTTGCTATTCCTGATAACACTTTAAACTGATAAAGTTATTTCATTATCATACCTGTCAACTGACCCGTATCCTGCGGGTCACACCCGAGAATTTCACCCCCTACCCGGGATGGTTTAAATATCCTCTGGGTCGTCAAATAACCTGTGAATTTGGAAAATAACCCGTTTTGAAATAAGGGAGCCTTTAGATTGTCCTTAAAGTGATTTTCCTTTGAAATACCAGGCAAATTCGCAATTCTTCCTAGACAAGAAGTTCAAATAGCTGTGTTAACTGTCAAATTAAGTGAAAAGTTAAATCACAAAAATACTGAACTCTGAGGAAAATTCAAAATGGAAAGTCCCTAATCAAATGGCAAAATCAAAAGCACAAACACATCAAACGAATGGACAACAACTGTCATATTCCTGACTTGGTACAGGCATTTTCTTATGTAGAAAATGGTGGATTGAACCTGGTTTTAAAGCGCTAAACCTCTCACTTGTATGACAGTCGCATCCAATTTCATTATATTGACAACGATGCGTGAATAAAACAGACATAATAGGTAAAAATGTCAAAATAGGGGTACAGCAGTCAACACCGTGATATCGATACAATCTTAATCACAACAAAAACAAACAAGTATTTAACAAAGAAGCACAAAAAATCATATATCACATTTAACAACCTCGTTCATTGCTAACTTATTTTTGTATATTATTTATGTATGCTAAACCAACCCATAAAGGATTGAGGGATTTTAAGCACTGGGACCGAATAGTAATTTTAACATTAACTCTGGCGTAGAATCGCGCGTTTCACGTCAGAATGTAAACGTCACACAGGTAGAGATATAAAATAATTTTGTCGTTCAAAGTATGCAAAAATTATAATAGAACAATAACACAATGGCGGGATGTTTAAAGTACAGAGACACGTCATATGTATCAAAGAAACATAAAAAGTCACACGGACAAAGCACACAAGTAAAAATGAAAAATAATACAAACAACACAATGACGGGATGCATAAGTACAGAGCCACGTCACATATATATATCACCAAAAACAGACCAAACAGTAAAAGTAATATTAATAAAGACAAAAAAAAGAACACTTTAACACGTTATTAAGATGATAAACAGCGTCAGTACGCAGAATTTATACTTCAAGACCATCATGTATTATTTGTGAAGTTGATTTGGAATATTTATCAACAATGACCAATTAAGTGCATGGCTTCACTTGACAGCTTTGGTGTCAAACACACTGTTAATTAACACCAATTACCGTAGCTTAAGGTCATAAATAATTTTGTCTATTTTAAAATTGTTTGACAACAAATTTGAGTTACTTTCCCTTTTTTGTCACCTTTCACAATATACTCCTTAATTTTATGATTTATATTTGTAAAAAGATTAAATCTTAGAACGAATTGAATGCAAATACATATCAGAATATTATATTCTTTTATTTTTCTACCTTAGAACTATGAAAACAATATTTTGAAAATTAATTTTTTTATCTTCAGTTCCTTTGAATGCTTAATTATTTTATTACATTATAATAATCACTCTCTTTTATATTTGTTACACAGCATGATACATACTGAGAAATAAAAATCACGTCCAACGGTGAATAATGATAAATGATATCAAGCACTGTAGCTTGAGAATTAAGTTAATACTCTAAATCAAACTAGGAGATGGGGTATAGTTAGGTTTGACATAATACAGTATATTGAACACATAAATATGTCAATGGCTTATGCAATGAACAAATGAAATTAAAGCCTATTTTCTATTAGAAATTCATCATGCGAACATATTTTGGAAACTGTTGGATTTAAAATATAACGACATGTCCCCTAAATACTTAAATTCAGCTGTAAAAAGTTCGTTCGCTTTATGACCTAAGATTTGATTCTTCAATGCAGGTCATGACCTGCATTTTCATTTGCATAGGTTGACAGGTATGCATTAGATATTGTCAAAATGTTGATCTGATTAGATTACACTATCAGTAAAACATAATGGTCCTGTACAAAAATGAAAGAACAGTAGAAGTGTGCTTGCAACCCATAAACATTTGGAGATTTTCAATACCTCTTCTACATCAGAGGTCACAGCATCTTTCCAAGTACCAACAATAACTACTGGTGGATCAAGATCATCTGATGTCTTGCTGTCAGCAGAATTACTTTTGTCCTCTTCCAGTCTACTGTAGCAATGGATTGAGTCCATCCATAACTGGAATAAATCTACAAAGAAATAGAATACCGATTTCAATCACCATTTATTTAAGTCTCATAAAGATGTGCAAGTTATTTGTAGTTGAACGGAATAATGAAAAACACATTACGAGCTGTCTTTACTTTCACCAGCATTGCAATGTTATTAGAACATGTAATAATTGTACTGTTACTATTTTATGGGAGACAGATTCATGATACCATCTTATACATTTTATTTTATGTATATGGCATTACTTAAGCAATTTTAGGAATATATTAATGTGACATTTTAGGTATGAAAATAAATCACCCTTGTTAAAGCTCTACACGTTCTCTATAACAAAAAACAAATGAGCGGATGTGTTATGATAGATATTGAGACAACAATTCACCACAAACCAATAGACAAGTAAATAATCAGCTAAAGGTCACAGTTCAACCCTTTCAAATTCTATCAAATAACAGCAATAGAGGAAAGATATGAAATTCATATACAAATAATGTTTTTAATATAATCTAGCTAGTCTGTTTGGCTTTAATTGGCGAAATTTTTACAATTTATAATGAACACTGTCAATCAATAATCTGTTAATAATTGATCAATTTAAAACAGTTTTGACCTATAATAAGCATGAACAAAAAACTCCTGTCTGTCAGACCTTCCCATGAGTCAATGCATAATACAAACCTGATCTCTCATTAACAGTAAAAAAAATGATAAACGCCAATTAAGAAACTGCTTGGATAGGGGAAATATTTAATATGTAAACAACTACTAGTAACTAATATGTAAATTATTCACCTTTTAATAAAGATACAGACCAAGTATTTTACTGTTTTATTAAAATCATAGTGAAAGAAATTATTTTAGAAAAAAATGGTGTCATTTTGGTGGGGTTTGTGTTGCTTAGTCTTTAGTTTTCTATGATGTGTCTTGTGTACTATTATTTGTCTGTTTGTTTCTTTCTTTTTTAGCCATGGCATTGTCAGTTTATTTTCGATCTATGAGTTTGACTGTCCCTCTGGTATCTTTCGCCCCTCTTTTAAGAGGTAAAATGTAAAAAGTAAGTACATTGTTCCATCATGGAAGAAACAGTTCTGAGTACAGTCCCAATTTGTCTGAAGATATCTAAATTCTTTTAGAAATTGTCTAATACAAGAAAAATATGACTGAATCTTTTTGAATCCCGATATGAAAATAACAATACCAATTTCGTGCGTCCTAAGTGCTCTTCTGGATTAGCATGATAAATAACCTTCATCAGGAATGCTTATATCCAAACATTTGAAACCCTTTAAGTTAGTTATAAATCATGTGATTACGTGATATAACTTTTTTGGAATGGAGACTGACAATTCTGAATTTCTGCTGCATTTTTCTGAATCTTGAAAACATTTTGATTCAGAAAAATTCAGAACTTCTGAAAATGTCTTAAATTTTATGAATGTGTCAGAACTATGTTCCGGAATATATGTTAGACAGACTAATAAAATTGAGAATGGAAATGGGGAATGTGTCAAAGAGGCAACAACCCGACCATAGAACAGACAACAGCAGAAGGTCACCAACAGGTCTTCAATGCAGCGAGAAATTCCCGCACCCGGAGGCGTCCTCCAGCTGGCCCCTAAACAAATATATATACTAGTTCAGTGATAATGAACGCCATACTAAACTCCAAATTGTACACAAGAAACTAAAATTAAAAATAATACAAGACTGACAAAGGCTAGAGGCTCCTGACTTGGGACAGAATTTCTGAAACAAGTCTGATGTATCTGAACAATCTAGAAAGCTCCTCAAATGAAGCAATTTGATGAAAAGAATATTTAGAAAGCATTTGATTAGCGCTATAAGCACAAGGATTTACATATTTGTATACATATTGCAATGATTACAAAAAGTTTAAGTTATATTAAGATTTCAAAGACTGTAAAACAATTTAATTAAAAAAAATCCACTTCATTGGATTTCTGCACTCTGAACTATTTAATCTATAAAGAAATCATGATTTCGATGAGTAATCATGAGAAAAAAATCTATAGATATCTAACGTTGAGAAAACTCTTAAAGCAATATGTACAGTACTTGCAACCTTAGGCGTTACTGTTTGATGGGAACTTGACTGATCGATGAATGATAAATGATGTATGTTTGACTGATCAATGAATGATCGGTGATCAATGACCCATAGAATCTGTCAGATACGTCAAATAATCGGCGACTGATCGATGACCGCAGATTGATTGCTAAAATAGTAACGCCTAAGGTTGCAAGTACTGTATGGCATTGGTGTGTACAATTGAGATAATTCTATCATTTTATAACTTAATCAATAACAAACGAAATATAGAACATTGAAAATTGCCTGTTAATTCAAAGTCACTGGTCTTGACCTAGGGGACAGAGCCTCGAAATATGATTCTACACATGTTTTAACGACTTTATAGATATATCTATGACAACTTTTAAAATGTTGAGAAAAAAAAAAATATCAATTCCAATAAAAGGCTATTTGAACATTTGGAAATCGTTAAGCATCACTTAAAGAATAGAAGTGTTAAAAATAGCTGAAATCAATATATTTTCAAAAGCCTGCCGACTGCATAACACATTTGTGTACAAGATTTGGATTTTCCAGGTTGTCTACCTTATGAAAGGTTGAAAACAACTGACGGGTGATATATAAATATGACATATGTGAGACTGATAAATCTGTCTTTTAAACAAAAGCTGTAATTAGCTCAACATTTTGCCATCGAGCATTACTGAAGAGACATTCATTGTTGAAATGCACATCTGGTGCAGTAAAATTGGAACAGTTAATGCAATTAATTGGCCCAAGAACACAGTTATTTCGTAGTGCATTTCTTTTAGACAATACATTCAAATTAAAAAAATTGCACCTGCTCTATCTCAAAAAGATGTTTACAGTGTAGTGTACTACTATTGGGACAAATAATATCAAAATTATAGAAAAGTCTACCAGCTCTAACTCAAAATATTGACATTTCTTTGTCAAGGGGGTCTAAAATTCAGTTCGACAGCTTCAGACATACTAGTTTTTGGCCTTTTTGAACTGGACCATATCACTACTTAACATAAAGATTCAGCACCCAAATTTTTTTAATATGTAATTTCATCTCTTTACTTAATATTTCATGCATAAAATATAAAGAAATAAATTTGGAAAGTGTATGAACAAAATTTGCAAGTTATACACTGTCCACACTAGGGACTATATTTGAAGACAACGAAAATCTAAGGACGATAACTGTGTCCTCGGACCTAATAGAATAGAAAGACTTGACCAATTCTAATAAAACGTTGCATGACCTAAGCTTAGGGAATTATAAGATAGTTGGCCAAGTTTCATGGCAAGAGGATATATATCATAGGAACTATGGCTATTTTAATATTGAAATTTGGATGTTTAATTTCAACTATCAAGATTTGGGCTTTAAAAATTTAAATATTGCAAAAATTTGCTTTTTAAATGCTCTTAGATATAAAATATTAGGTATTAAAAGAAACTGAACACTCATTTGATTTTTCAGATTTATTACAATTATTCAAAAGTCAAATTTATATGAGCCTGTGCCTGAAAGTTGAGATTTTCGAATTAAGGGGAGCCTTGCATAAACATGCATTTTTTCCAACCAATTTGAATTTTTTGAAGTTTTTTAACCATAAATTATTCTTCCATATATACTAAATATACTTTAAATGGAAAGAAAAGTTACAAAAAGCATACCACATGAGTATAAAATGGTCTTAGGTCATGCAAGACTGAACATTTTTTAGAGTCAATTTAGGCCGTAGCACATATTTACATATAAAAATGCATACAGAAGCTATTAGAAATGGAAATTTGTTACTTTTTGCTCATTTCTATGCTAAGATGTCATGATACAAGAAGTCTAATTGCAAAAGGACTCTTGCATTCAACTTTTTTTGCAGACAGTATGGGCTGTGCACAGTTTTTTCACTTTTCAATGGAAAACTTGCATGTAGTTTTAGTCTTAACTGGCATATATTTGAACCACATGCTATCCTACAGAAAAAAATAAAGGTAGTCTATGAAATGAATAAGGTGCACAGATCATTGTCAAGTGCTTTTTGTACAGATTAAGTGAAATATTTATGATGGACTACAAATTTTATGTACAAAGCTCTTCACATTTCACATACATCAAACAGGCCGTTCGACCAGTTCCTAATTACAACACATTTTGCACATTTTTTTCTGTGATAATCTACTTTTCTCTACATTCAGAGTTCACAAATGGTTAATAGAATTTGAATTAATCATAGAAACACAAATATCAAAGCATAAAAAGCTGTCAGATAGAAAGTCAGCATGCCTCTTAGGCATAAAAATGGAAACTGCTACAAAATGCTTACTTTCGCAGTATAATGTCAAAATGGGACATTTTAACAGAATTTCTTTCAAATAAAGATTTAAATCCTTTACTTTTATTGAGTTTGACAAATTGAAACCAGCAAACCATTCAGGGAAGTTGCCAAAGTACAGAATCTACATTTCCTGAATTCATTTCTTAGGCCCGAGAACACAGTTATTTCGTAGTGCATTTCTTTAAGACAATAAATTCAAATTAAATCAAAGTGCTGCATAGCACCTGTGGAAAGTTTGCAACGGTAGATGTGTATTATTTCAAATGGGTTGTAGATGTGTATTATTTCAAATATGTATTTAATCACATGTTTTTTTCCGAAACCATAGTCTCATCAGCAATTATCAAAAATCTCTTTTGTTCATATGTTTGTCATGTAAAATTTTGATAATTTCTATTGCAGTCTTAAACTGTAGATTTTAAATAATCAAATATACAGAAAGCTCTGTTAATTTCTTTCTGTGCCCATCCCATATAAAGGGCCTGTGATTTTAGTATTTTTTATTGATTTAGGTCCTTCATATTTGTTTTTAGTAAATTGTATTATTACTAATTAAGCAGTTAGTTTTCTTGTTTGAATTGTTCCACATTTTGTTTTTCTTATTCTTGACGAC